TGCCGTCCCTTCCCCTACACAATTCGCGCAGTCGGCTTTAGGGGTTGAAATTTACTCGTAAGGGGGTGAATTAGGGAGAGTATTATTATATTAATAATATAGTGTTTATCAAGAAAATACGCAATTAATTTTGAAGTGTGACAGCAGTGTAAAGCAAGCGTAGAAGACGTAAATACTGATTCATTTATAAAACGCATGCTCACTCCTCGGATAAACATACTCGCACAAACCATCCCCAATCAAATTAGCAGTTCTTCTTTTTTCTAATGCGGCAGCCGACGGGACAGCTCTGTCTGCATAATAATAAACAAAATCTCAGTAATCACAATAAAAAGGGCTTAATTATGAATTAATGGATTAGTCTAGAAGTTTCGTTGTTGTCTTATACAGAATGGAATAAAAGTCTGGAAACGCCCAATTATCTCATAAATGGATGGTTCGAATTGTTCAAAATTTGGGATAAGCTTATTTTGGGATACTTGGCAAATTTGACATTGGCAATGTTACAGATTAACTGTTTTTCTGATATTGGTCACGTTGGTTTTTTCAATACATAATGTATGTATGTTGTGTCATTATTGGAAAGGGGGAACAAAATTGTATCTATGAACACAGGTTGCTGAAATATGTACTTTTCTGCTTATAATGAAAAAAAAAACAACCTATTATTATGGCAATCTGATTTATTTTTTAAAAAGAAAGTCTTTTGCAGTGTGAAGAGCACAATAATAAAGACCACCGAAATGACTCACAATATTATATTAAATAGTAAAAATTGAATTTTTATAAACAAACAACAAACAGTACTTAGTAAAAAAATCACAAATCATGTTTTAAATAGTTTTTATCTACCTATATTATAACATATATTAGGACAGGATGATCATTGGCTATACTTCACCATGATTCTAAAATTGCTTTAAAAGACCATCATTTGCTAATACCTACTGAAAGTTCCACAGTAATATTAAGTTAACGTATTTTTAATTTTTATTGCAATGGTAAACACTAAGAAACAATACCAAGAAATCAACCAAAAGGTGATGGCTTCAGTTTTTTTAATTTTTTTGGAAAAGTAGTAGATTTAATAATAAACACCAGGTTTGGAACGAACAAATAATATCTATGATAATAAACCAAATAGGGGTGGCCTTTGAAATGGAAGCCATCAGAAGCTGCTCAGAACATATTTGGGGAAGCCGTTTAACTAGATATTGGACACCCTAATACTAGTATTATTTCAAAACAATAAATAGGGTTGAAAATAAAAATATTAATGAAAAAATTTACGGTGAGGCTAACCAATGACCATCCCTTTCTGGTATAGATCTGAGTGTGGATTATTATCTACTAAAAAACTGGTAATATAACTTTTAAACTGAATTTAATTCTGAGCTCAGTTTAGATCAAAGTTGTCCATTCATACATAGGCTGTTCAAGTAAGTTTTCAGTAAATTTAATATTGTTAAGTAATCAGCTATTAAACTCAGAAAGGACAACCTTATCTCTTATATAAATGCAGTGGCGCAGCCAGCCATTTTTCATGGGAGGGGTTTTTGAGAACTATGGGGGTTCCATCAAGAAATTAAATAAAAACAGTCAATAGCGATCAGCGACAATACTATAGTTGAAATGGTGACGAGAGTACCCGTCATGGGGGAAGGGGGGGGGGGGGGTTCTGACCACCCAAAACCCCCCGTGGCTACGTCACTGTATAAATGTGGTCTATTATTGTATAATAGAGGCAATATTATTACAGAAATAGAAAATGTATAATGAGAATTATAAATAAACGCACAAGAGTTTGGCAATAATAGAACAATATAAATACGCATTTCTCAGAAATTACTTAAATTCTTGTTAAAACAACAGTATGAATCATCATTGAATACACAAAAATCCAATATATTTCAGATGTTAACTTTTAATCAATTTTGTCCCTCTATGTTGACATGAAAATACAGGCTCTTTCGAAAATTCAACGTAATGTACTGGACTATAAAGGTATAATAGTACATGGAAATTGTATCAAAAAAGAAGTGTTGCCTTCTGATTTTTTTATGAGTTGGTAGTAATGAAATGGGTAATGACAAATCCAAGTTTTCCACCTCGAACGCCCTTCCGATCAAGTTAAATACTTGAAAATTCATTAAATATTAGGAGTTTTTTCAGATTTTCTCAATTTTTACCATAAAGGACCTACGTTACGGCAAAAGTTACTACGAATACTTTTTAAGTAGACTAAATTTGCAATTAAATGAGAATAATTTGGTTTTGGTAGGCCAAATAGTTTTTAAGATACGGCTATTTAAACTTTACAAAATTACAAAAAAGGAAGTATTAGTTTTTTTTAGTTTTCGACAATTTTTACCTCTAAGTAGTGGGTTTATTGGAAAAGTTACTTTTTAATTAGTTATTAAAGTCCACTAAATTTCCAACAAAATGAGACCAATTAGGTCAACTTACCCCTGATAGTTCCTAAGACACTGCTGTTTTGAAAAAGACCAAGGAATAGTTGAAAGACTTTTTCACAAATAATTTGAATGAAGAATGAATCAGGAAGGGTGCAAAGTCATCATTCTACACAGCCTTCAATTCTGCGGCTCAAATATAACTGTACTTTTCGGTGGCTATCCGTCTGACGTATCAGATAAAAATACCAAGAGCTCCCGATGTTATATTCAATGAAACAACCATTGCTTCAGTTGCTCAGGACAAGTTCTTATTGAATGACAGAAATAAAATTAGACTCATCGACATGCTGAAGGTTAACTTGGAGAAGAACAAAATTCTAACATTACAGGCTGAAGAAGATGCTGATAGGTTAATAATAACCACAGCCATTTCCATATCCTCTTCCTACGAAGTAGTGAAGATCAGCGAGGATATAGATTTCTTGGTCTTACTTTATGGTTTGTCACGAGATGGAGGAGACCACATCCTTCTAACAAACAGACCAAATAACAATATATTTGTAAAATGTGGGAGAGGAAAAAAACCCAGATGTCACCTACTCGACAAATTCCTTTACGCAATTATCACAACCCGAAATAGCACTGTTCCTTCACGCGTTTAGCGGTTGTGATACAACATCGACAATAAAAAAATAGCCAAGCCTCGAACAAAATGCAGAGGTTTTCTTAAGCTCAAATGCCACACCTGAGAAAGTTGCCATTTTACTTTATGGAAGCAATAGAGAATCGCAAAATCTTAGCGATCTTGGCTTCCAGTTGTTCACTAGGGCGGCAGTTAAGCCCAACATGAACCTCGTCAGATTGCCTCAAACCAGGGATGCTGCAAGATTTCACTCTCTGCGAACATACCATCAGGTGAGAATAAGTTTTTGTCTGTATTCTTCCGCTTCAGACCACATTCTTTATACATGGTTCCTTATTTTATTGTTGATTTTGTTTCAGGTACAGAAGTGGCTGGAGAATGAGAAGAATCCTCTCGATTGGGACTGGATGTGGAGTACACAAGACCTCGTTCGTTAACAGATGATGGCACCACCAGCTCCTCAAGCTCTGCTAAATATGATTTTCAGTAATAAAAAAAAGGTTGTATCACAGTTGTGGTTGCAGCAAAGTAGGACTGAAATGCTCGGCTGTTTGCAGCTACTTCACTGGCCAATCTTGCGAGAACATACTAGACCTGATGTGTGACGACATTGATGAACCATTCATTGGTGACACACCATCAAATAACGATTTCGACCTTCCTGAGCAGTTCGATGAAGAAATTCTACCTCAGCAAGCTGCACCCAAAAGGTGTGCTGTGGATTCAGAGGAGGAGCCTGGTCCATCAAAAAATATACAAAAAATGCGAGTAATAACTATTTTCCTAACTGTGCTGTACATAAAATACAATGAGACATTTCTTAACATTTTTCAAATCAATGTTTTAATTAGTAAAATGTTGCAAACTTTTAAATAGCCGTAACTTATAAAATATTTGGCCTACCAAAACCAAATTATTCTCATTTGATTGCAAAAGTCTACTTAAAAAGTGTGCATTGTAACTTTTGCCGTAACACAGGTTCTTGGTGGTAAAAATTGACAAAAACTGAAAAAACTCTTAAAATTTAAATAATTTTTTAGTATTTAACAATGATCCGAAGGGATTCGAGGTGGAAAATTTGGAATTGTCATTACCATCTCATCACTACCAACATATAAAAAAATCAGAACTACCTCATTTGATGTAAGGCAAAAAGTACCAATTACATGGACTATAAGATATCGCGGATCAAAATGATTTCACCGTGGAATTCTGGCCAGCTGTTTCGTAGAAATCGAAAGGTGCAATAATTTCTAATTTTTTATTAAAAATAGTTACCTTTTTTTTTAATGGTTATGATGTAAATTATTCATTTTTAAAAAATAAAATTTATTGTCGTTTGATATGATTAGGGGTACAATTTTTAAGTAATTTAAGATTAAGTATTCTCATAATCAGAATTATTTTATGATCAAAATCTACTTTTGTAATAACGCCTCGTTCATTTGAACAAATATAAAATCTCTTACCGGATTGAATTACTTTTATTATAATTATTGCAAAGATTACCTATTTTTATATTGATAATCATGAAATTGTCTTTCGCCTGTTAAAAAAACTATCGAACATCACAGTTCCGGATTTCTATCCATCCACCACAGATATCGGGACCAATTTTGAGCTATACATATAAGATCTTTAATAAATTACTACGAAATATAATCATTAATAAAAATATAACCTCATATATGTGAATAATGTACATTTCCGAGGATCTAAATATGAACAGTAAGTTTTTAATAAAAAACAGCTAATAAAGAAGCGCAAAAAGGCCTTTTTTAACATACTTTTACGTAAGTTTTATCTTAGTCCTGGTAACGATTTTATTAATGTATAATCGAAAACACCCCCAATAAAAATTGCGTGTATGAAAAATCTAGAAAACAAAAACAATAAACAAAAATATACAGGTACAGTACTTTACACATATTATAAAAAAATTATTATGTCGAATGTTCATCACCGACTATATTGGTACCGTTTACAACAGGGCTTCCAACAGAATTTGTCATGGGTGAAGCGCTTTTGTTCCTTAATTCAAACACTTGTTGTATGGCACTTCGGAAACACAAAAAGTTATAATCGATTATTCCTGAAATAAAAAATACGTTTTTATGAATTATTAATAAAAAAAATATTAAATTGTTATTTTTGTGTTCACCTAACTTTCATCTTACCTTTGCTTACAAAATTATCTTCCCGCAATATACAAACTAAGGCAAGAAATTTATTGACTTCCCTTAAATAGAGAACAGTACCATTATTTAACTTTATTAAACTCGAACTTTGTTCATCAAAGGCAGCTGGGTCTTGTTCTTCTTTTATTCTAAAATAAATACCAAAGAAATGTTTAAATATATAAATCAAAAAATATTATTTGCATTTTTTACCCATATATCCAAGATACGTCTATCACTACATCGATCATATCACAACAGAGTTCATAGCTTTGCATATCTACAGGTGTGGAATCAGTCGCAATGTATATTTTAGATACTACATCAAAAAGGAATGATTTTTCAATGGCGGAATTCTGAAAAGAAAATTATATATCATAAAAACTCTAAATCTTTCATTATTTTCCAATGACTATGTTATAATACCAGGCACTTACAGTATTCAGAATGTTAAGTAAGTTTTCTAAAGCAGGTAACTGAGGTATTAATTTTTGAACAACTTTGGAAAATGCTTCAAAAATTGAATGGTCGTATATCGATGTTAGGTGAAAACTAAGATTAATCTGGTCATAACCTGAAATTAACAAATTGTTATTCAAATAGTAGACATATCTTAATATAGCTTTATGCTACTTAGTTTATTACGGTAGGAAATTAAAAAAGTTTCAGACAGAGAATTATCACGAAAACATTTGAAACGTGGTTTCAATCTACCTACTCTTTTGCCGTTTAGAACAAAGTTCAGTCACAGTTTATAGCTAAAGAATCAGTTCGCTTACTCTGCGTCGGTACTTTTGATCTTAATGTTCCAGTTTATACATTGCGCAACTCGGATTTGTATCCCTTGCGAATACGGAATCAAATCATAATAGCCCAAGAGCCCACTGTAAACTTTTACTGCCATCTGATAATGAAATAAAATATACCCCAAAAGCTTGTAAAAACATTGTACTTTACCGAATGGCACCTGTGACAATCCCAATCCTGAGCAAAGTGTTTAAAAAAATATATTTTATATTAAAAAAATCACATAAGGCATGACAGCGCTAATTTTGTTTGCCCTTAAAGTAAACATATTTAAATATAAATAAATTTAAATATTTAAATATATCTTGATATATATCGTTAACGGGAAACATTTTCTTCCTCTTAACATCGCACAAAAACATCTACACACGATTAGTAGGTAAAAATCATTAAAAATATGAATCAATTTTTGCTGATTTAAGAATTTATTTGTATGCCTATTGTTGTGATTCATTTTTACAGGTGGTAATAGAAACGACAAAAAAACTACTATGATTATGATAGTTTAAAAGAATTGTCTAACAAGAGTTTATAATTATTATTGACTATCTCTGCCAAATTTAGGTAAAAATATTAATAATTCAGGTTTAAAAGCTAGGTTCACAATGAATTAGGATTGTCATTTTCAGAGAAAACACAATTATCGCTGTCATGTCTCATGTAATTTTTTTGTATATAAAATAATTTTTTTAACCACTGCTCTAGATTACAGATTGGCACAGGAGCAATTTGGTAAAGTACAATGTTGTTACATGTCTTTGGAGCATATTTCATTTTGTTATCAGATGGCGGTCGTAATTTGCAGTGGGCTCTCTTACTATTTAACAATAGCTGTCAGTGAGAAGGTCTGGGTAGAGACATAGTCTTGCATCTTGAACGTTTTTTTTTTTTTATTCGAAATAATAGTCACAAAGCCTGCCAATTTATGAAAAAATGTATCTTATTTTTATTGGGTTTGACATAAAATATTTAAATGTAATCCATTATTCATGATTTTACGTATTGTAAACAGAAAACATTGTATGTCGCAACCCTCGGATATATCAAATCTTCCCACTGACAGTTCATTTGTTTGGAATGCCTAATACAATATATGACAACCGCCTATATTCAAACAGCAGTCTTCTGCGCATCCTGAATTTGTATCCCTGGAGTGGATGTTATTTTGGAACATCCAATTGGTCCAAGTGAGCGAACTGATTCTTTTAAGCAATAAACTGTGGTTCAGTCATTGTATTAGGGCCGATTCCACTGTTCTGTTAAACAAAGTTTAAATTACTAAACGAAGATTAACATTGTTAATGTAAAAATGTCATTTTAAACCTAGGGCAAAGGCACCAGTAATCAGGGGCGTGCGGTCCATGGAAGCGGGGGAAGCACCTTTTCCCTACACTTTCAGATTTAAAAATAAATATTTTTCAGTTTACAATGCATAGAAATTAATATTAAATTAGGTACTATATTTTCTCTGAAACATTACGTAAACTTCGTAAATGTACTAACAATTTATTGGTGGAATATGTAAACGCACGCACCACCCATGAGAAAATTAATTGTCCACCGGCGGAAGCGCGCCTTAAAAAAGCCCGCACATCTTCCAATTGATTTCGCTTGCCGCGACAGTAGTCAGTCTGTTTGGGCACGTAAAATACGGTCGAGAGGCAGCGATTTTTACGTCGCCTTGCGCATATTGCAATTCCCACAGCGAATCGATGTGTGAGGAAAATCGTAGACTTCAGATAGATTTCGGTTTGTTTTTCGTAGTTGTTTTTCTTTTTGTAAAATGGAGGAACTATGCACTGTGCCTGTGAGCAATAATAATGTGGTAAATTGTGTCTGTATTGTGTACTCTTTATTGAAAAATGGATTTTCAAGTAGAAATTTTCAAGAGAAAACGGACATTATTAATTCTAGTAGACTAAAGGATCCTATCAATTTAGAGACGAAAGTAGAAAAGTCAGCAAAGTAATTCCAGGCATTTTCACGTAGGGTTCTATGAAAAGTATGAATGGTTAACCGGCTGCAAAACTTTGAAGAAATTGTTTTGCTTGCCTTGCCTACTTTTTAGTATAGCCTAAAAAACACATTAGAACTCAGTCGGTATTACATACTTGAATAATTTGTAAAACGACATGTAAATAGCAAAATAGCAAAAAACATTCAGGACCTATTGTATTGAACATAGTTTGGACAATCATTTAAAAATAAGCAACAAAATTCACAACGAAAGGGTAAAAAAAATAGGGACGTCTTACAACGAGTAGTAGATGTAACTTGTTTCCTGGGAGAGCATGAACTAAGTTTTAGGGGTCACAATGAAGCAAGGGGATCCGCCAATGGAGAAAATTACATGGACATTCTAAGTTTTTTATTAAAATACGATGATACCCTAAAAATCATTTTATTGATTTGACGACTTTCCGAGGTACCTCAAACAGAATCCAAAATGAATTAATTAAATGCACTGCCGACGTTGTGATGGATCACATTAAAAGTGAAATGAAAAAAGCATCTTTCGTATCAATTGCGATTGATGAAACCACAGATGTAGCAAACTTAAGTCAATTATCCATTGTTGTGCGATATGTATTGGATGGCATTCCTCAAGAGCGAATCTTAGAATTTTTGGACGCACTAGCGAACGAACTGCAGATGCATTGTTTAAAATTGTTTGTAACATTATTTCAAGTTTAGAATGTGCTTTTAAGCTTGTTGCCCAGAGCTACGATGGTGCTGCCGTAATGGCTGGCCATTTAGGAGGCCTTCAAGCTAAAGTGAAAGAGAAGTTTAAACATGCAATTTTCGTTCACTGTATAGCACATAGACTTAATTTGGTTTTATCGCGAAGCATGGATAATATTAAAGATTGCAAAGTTTTCTTTTCGACGCTTAGAAGTTTGGCTTCCTTCTTTTCAAATTCATCGAAAAGAACTCGCGCTTTGGACATTCACGTTCAGAAAAGGTTTATAAAAGTTTCTCCGACGCGATGGAACTACAATGGACGTTTAGTGCAAACAGTGTTTCAATACCGTGATTCTTATATACACTTTTTTCAAGACGTTTGAGATAATAAAGAAACATGGGATGCTGAAACTGTTACTGCCGCTAAAGGGTATTTACATTGGCTCAAACAAAACTTTGATTTCAATTTTTTGCTCAACATTTTTGCAGAGATTTTTATTTTTACTGACATTTTATTCGACATTTTACAGACAAAGTCAAATGACATTGGCTTTTGCATTAAACAAATTGATGATTTTAAAAATAAAATTAATAAAAAACGAGATCAGTTTGAACACTTTTGGAATAAGACTCAAAATATTGGCTTAGAACCTGAAAGAAAGAGAATTAAAATTGATAATGTCGGCGACAGAAAGACCTCCATTATTATACGCCGAAATTTTTGATATTATTTTACAACAAATGAACTCTCGATTTCAAAACTTTAACGAATTAAAATTTGTTGAATTGTGCAATTTTAATATTAGTAACTACGATTCATCAAAATTTTCATTGGAAGCTTTTAATTCACTAAAATTAAATTATGGAATTTTTTTCCATATTCCACTGGCAATTATTGGTTAGCTATAGTGGCAATTTTTGGTTTAGGATACTAAAATGGAAAAAGCAAAGAAACCTTTCTTCCAATATTCACAAGAAAGCATGGAGGCTGCTATTGCAGCTTGTAGAAATGGAATGCCATATTCTACTGCGGCGAAAATGTATGAAGTACCAAGAAATACGTTAAAAAATAAAGTTCTGGGAAAAACACCACTGGAACGAAAAATGGGTCCTTCAAGTGTTTTAACTAAAACAGAGGAAAATGCCATTGTAAAATGGATAACCACAATTTCAAGCAGGGGACTTTCTCCTCATAAAAATGATCTATTATCAACAGTTCAAACAATAATGAAAAACACCCAACGTATGAATCCATTCGTAAATGACAAACCTGGTTAGAATCATTTTTTAAGAGAAATCCTACTGTAGCTGTCAGAACTCCTGAAACTTTGACCACCACAAGAGCTTCAGTAACAGAACACCAAATTAGAAAATGGTTTGCAGAAGTTTGTACCTTTTTCAAAAATGAAAATCTAGAAGACACTTTAAATTGTCCAGAACAGATTTTCAATTGCGATGAGTCGGCGTTTCAAATATGTCCGAAATCAAATAAAGTAATCGGTCCGAGAGGTGAAAAAAATATATATAAAATTGAAAAAAGGCTCATAAAAAGAATCTATAATAGTGGCTATTACAGTTAGTGCAAGCGGTGTTTTACTACCGCCCTTTCTTTTGTTTTCGTACTCTCGATTACCGGGACCGTTAGTGTCCAACAGATGACTGGGCTGTTGGAAAAATTGAAAAAGGCTGGTTAAAAATAAAATAACTTTTCCTGTTAACTTGTTTATTGACGGACACAAGTCACACCTGACTTTGAACCTCAGCAATTTCTGTGAACAACATAAAATTATTTTGGTAGCGTTATTCCCTAACGCAACGCACATAATACAACCATGTGATGTTGCGATTTTTAAACCATTAAAGGAGAATTGGAAAAAAACTGTTCATAAGTGGAGATTGGACAGCAATATTGAAATTCTAAATAAAACAAACTTTCTGTTAATGTTTCGTAAAGCCATAAATGGGGTTACAAAGGAACACATTGTTAATGAATTTAGAAGATGTGGGCTGTTTCCTTGGTCACCTGATGCTGTAGATTATTCCAAATGCATGAGGAATAGAGCCACCAAATCAGAAGTCACACCTCAAGCTATGCCTGCGCAACGAAAAAAGCTCACACATTTTGGATATTTAGAAACGCTAATTCATCCTGATATTCTTAAGCTATTTATGGAGTGTATCAAAAATGAAACTTGGAATGGAGAAGATAAGTGGTTGGAACTTTTTAAGGTTTGGCTTAAGGCAAAAAAAGAACATTATTTTAAAAACAACATCCTCCCAAGAGTCACAATAGAAAGTATAGAAGTCACTGAAAATATTCCTGTTGCTTCAACAAGTCGTCAGAATTTGTCAAGTACTTTAGAATCGGATAAAAGCAAGTTAACCGCGCCGACAAGTACTTCAGAACTTTCCAAAGAAATTATCCCCCCAAAGAATATTACAAATAATTTGATTGAGATTTTCAAGACTCCTGATATCCCAGTGCAATTTTGTAATAACCGAACTCCAATTTTAAATGAAGATTCAAATTGAAGCCTTGGAACTCCATTTAAAAGAGCACTAATATGGCCAGAAGTCAAAGAAAAGACAAAGAGAAGGAGAAACTTGGAGAAAATTCCATCTGTAGTGACGTCCAAAGAGTGGAAAAAGTTTATGTTACAAAAGGAAGAAAAAAATGAAGAGAAAGAAGAGCGAAAAAGAATAAAAGAGGAGAAAAAGCAAATGAAACTCCAAGAAAAAGAAAATAAACACCAGACTTTAAATAAAATTAAAAAAATAAGTAAACAGCAAAGAGCAAAGTCAAGTAAAGACAGCACATCCGATTCTAATACACCTGAAGAATTGGAAGCTTCTGGGAGTGATAATGATGTACTCTCAGACATATCAGAAGAATCAGTTGGAAAATCTATTATGTACAAGGAAAATGATTATATATTAGTGACCTTTTCCAGGAAAAAAAAGGTAACATAGGTATGTGTGCGTAATTCAAGCCCTTCTACCCAATAATGAAGCAGAAGTGGTTGGTTTAAAGAAATGCGATGATGGGAAAATGTTTAAATTAAATGAAGTTGATATCAGTGTTATCAGTCTGAATCAAATTATAGAGAAACTACCATTTCCAACAATAATCAATTCAGACGATCGTCTCAAATACGAATTTAAAAGAGAAGTTTTTGTTGATGGTTAACTACAATTCATATCTAAGTTGATTTTTAAGTTTAATTTTTTTATTAGACTTAGGTAATAACTTTTTTGTTATACTTAACCGAATTGTTATTTTATTTTAAAAAATACAAGTGTATTAGATACAATTTACAGTGTCCTTTTTATTTCTGTTCTTTTTGCTTGCACATGCCAAACTTGGCATTGGCCATTACTGGCCAATTACAGTGGCAACCACTGGATTTTCTAAAATATGATTGTGGTAATTACTAGTACTTCTGACTAACATGAAAAAATATTTCATATTAAAGAAAAATTTACATGTTTTGTAAGATATTACAACTAATATCTCTTAGTGAATCATTACTACATACTATTATTTTGTGTAAACAAAAGAAAAGTCATGTTTTATATTTTTTACAATTTACTTTATGTAAATGCTTGCTTATAATGGCAATTACTGGTGCCTTTACCCTAGTTTATTATTTAACTACTAGCGGTGGAATTGGGCCTTAGATAACGCATCATATCATATTCGTAGCTTAGAAAAACTTTCTAAAATTAATTCTGATGCCTTGGTAGGATTCCCCACTCGACTATTCACTGTTGGGTTCTAATTAACAGTGCAGTTCCTAAAGTAGCGCTGGGAAATAGTAACAAAGCCTACACAGAACACGAGGCAAAATAACCTTAGCAGTTGAAGCCGATGACACACAAAAAAAAGACAGCATGGAAAAATCTGAGATATTGGATTTGCTGAAAACGAAAAATATATGCTGTACCAAAAATACGTTGAAAACTGAAACACTTAGTATTGGCCGAATGCACAAGAAAAAATTCATTTAATTGGTTATAGATGAAATAGCTAAAGAACGCGGTTCCGTGTATTAAGACCTTATCACTAAGAATAAATCCGATTGAGCTAATATGAGCCTAAGTAAAAGGCGATGTTGCGCGTGAAAATACCTCTTTCAAATTGGCCGACGTTAAAATATTTTTAAACAAAGCAGTAATTGCTTTCACAGCTGCTGATTGGTCTAAATGTATTGGCTACGTGATAAAAGAAGAAGACAAACTTTGGGATTTAGATCCAGGAATAGAAATATTGATAGAACCTATTGGTAAGGATAATAGTCATTCTAAAGATTCACGTTTGAAGTTAATTTCTTTCTTCTTCAATACCGACGATGAACAAGGGTCAAATAATCAATTTTAACAATTTATCTATTTTTGTTTTGTTTAAATTTTACGATACGTTTTTTATTTTTACAGTATATATAATTCATTTTTACAATCATTTATAAACAGGGTAGGTAGTTAATGTTTCACAGAATATAGCTCTTTAACTTTTTGGCTTTAAAATACAACTATCTGACTCAACTTGTATAAATGAAATATTGTAACGTTTGTTTAATTTATTTATAGTTTATTTATTTAAAACATTTTATTTACAATTTAATTATAACGTAATAATTAATTTATATAATACTTGGGCACTATTATAACTCAGAATTCTAATTTATTTATTACAATTTATCTTTTCTGTCCAACACTTAAATTGAATCTTCCCGTCCGTCGACAAACTCGCGCTATTTATATAAAGCCAGCTCTGTACCAGAACTCTCTCGGCTTTCCTAGAAGCTTCGGGAAGTCCCACTCTATGACTCATACGCCGCACCGCGATCATTCCGAGGGTTTCGAGAAGCGGTGCGTTTGTCTCTATATGGTCAGCGCTAGACTTCATACCGCGAGCAAGGAGTAAACAAGGAACGGAGACGGCTTTCGCGCCACAATATTAAATACTAAAAAAGTTGCAGTGACAAAGTTGAATGGTAATAATTTCACTTTTTTTTTACATTTAAAACAATTTTCGTGACTGAACTTTTCTTTGGAAAAGGTTAAATGATTTACCTTATATAATCGTTTAGTCAAAATTACCAAAAAGTTCCGTCAAAAAAAATACTCGCTCAAGTGACATCCTCTTCAATCAAATTTAAAATTATAAAATCATTCCTTGCCAAAAATAATAACCCTGTCAAATTTCGCAACAATGTAAAAAAATATATTATGAAAATTATTACCGAAAGAACCAAATAATTATTTTAAAATTTTCTGTATTTGATTAAAGAAAATTGAATCGGATCGTAATATTTTGAAGCCAACACCATTACGCCAACACCATTACGCTAACGCTATTAATTACTAACGACCCTGTATTTATCTGATAATGGGGCCATATATGACTGAGATGGCGAAGGTGGTGTGAAAATGTTCCAATAATTACTGAATTCACTTCAATTAAAAATAATTTTGCTATTCAATTAAAGGACGTGGATAAAATCCCGTACGTGGGATCGGATCGAAAACATTAAAATCCCGAACGGGCGGAGTTACAGATTAATGTAAAAGAAACTTTTGAATACATTAAATTTTTAGTTAATATAAATAATAAATAATTAAATTAACAGTAATAAATTGAAATCATGAAAACTGAACGATTTACAAAAAAATATAGAATAGGTATTTAAAGCTAAACAAATATTAGCGAAGGTTATTCGAATAAAAATGTTTGTTAAGAATTAAGCTAATTGAAAAAAGTTAACAATGAATATTAAATTATCTAGGTATACATCAAGTATACTTTATTAGAGTAATTTAATTACGATATAAAAATGGAATTGAATAAGGATAATTTCCTGACCATAAATAAATTATTACATATTAATTTATCTATGTTCCTGACCGTAGTAGAATTTTATATAAATTAGTCTATTGCCAAATTATTAACTTCCTACGAAATAGATGAACAGTGGTCGGGGTTTCATGTTCAATACTAAAGAAAAAAGTATTTGAAACACATTTAAACAATAATACCTAAACTATTTCTTCTTTCATTTTAAAAAAGAAATATTTTCTAACTTTCAAAATTATATTTCAGCTATTATGTTGTACATAAATATGATTCCAGTAATTTAAATTCTTCTATTATATCAAATTATATTTTTATGTAAAAAACAAAATACGATAACATCTTAATTCTAATCAAAATGCAGTGACCAATTACGCGTAATCTTCTTTAACTCCGCCCGTTCGGGATTTTAATATTTTCGACCCGATCCCACGTACGGGATTTTATCCACGTCCTAAATGAAAATAAATATTTATCGTACACCTACATAAAATATTAAAATTCTCCGTCACTGGAAACATTTCCATATCATTCAAGTTAAGATAAGCACTCAAATTATTTTAAAACAATTCATAATCAAATATATAACAATGGCGAATGTATTAAGAGAAAATTTACTGATAGGAATTGGTCATCCTCTGTTAGACATAACGGCAATGGTAGATATACAATTTTTAACAAAATATAACCTTAAAAAGAATGACGCAGTTATAGCTACCGAACAACATCAAAATGTATACAAAGAATTAGTGAAGGAATATCCTGTTACTTACACGGTAGGAGGAAGTATACAAAATACATTAAGAATCATACAATGGTTAATAGAAACACCAAAAGTAACTACATTTTTTGGAGCCGTTGGTAGAGACGATTTGTCAAACATTTTATCAGATAAAGCAACACGAGATGGAGTTAATGTCAACTATCAATATGTAGACAAGGAATTGACAGGTACCTGCATAGTTCTTATAACAGGAAAAAGTAGATCTTTGTGTACCAACCCTGCAAGTTCAAGATTATTCAAAATAGAACATTTACAAATTCCTGCTAATAAAAGTTTGTTAGACACAGCGGATTACTATTATATGGGAGGGTTCTTCTTATCTGTAAGTGTTGATACTGTACTGGAGATTGCAAAAATTGTCGTAGCAAATAAACGTCAATTTTTATTTAATATCAGTGCACCTTTTATTTGTAAAAATTATAAAGATGCATTACTGGAATTTATGCCTTATTTTGATGTTGTTTTCGGAAATAAATCTGAAATAGAAGCTTTTGCTGAAGCTCTTCAAATTAAAAGCAGTAATATAGACAAGATAATTGTAGATTTAGCAAAATGGCCAAAAATAATTGGCACCAAACCAAGAATAATTGTTCTCACGCAAGGGGAGAATCCAGTAATAGTAGGAATAGAAGATACCATTTTAAAATTCCCTATAGCAAAAATCGAAGATGAAGCCATTGTTGACACAAATGGTGCAGGCGATGCATTTGTAGGAGGTTTCTTGGCACAATACATACAAGGAAAAGACTTAGAAGTGTGCGTTAACTGCGGAATTTGGACTGCATCAAAAATTATACAAAAAATTGGTTGTACTTTTGAAGGCAAAGCCCTCTACAAATAAAACATTTTTGTTTACAACTGAAAATTTAACGACATCATTTGTTAAATTTAAAAAATATAGAAACTACCTGCATATAAATCCAACTGACTTAAATTATTTTTTAAATTGTTACTTTATTATCCATATATTGGAAAAGGTGAAAAGTAGAAAGCGGGACAAATCAAAAATTTGAGATTTGGAGATTTTTCGTTGGCGAATTCTATTTTTTTGCAGTAGTGAAGATTTATTGAAGAGCAACCATAAAGGCTTAAAAGTGGGACAAAATCGTTTTTAATCGGACGTAAGCGGGATAAAATTGTTTTATTCGAGAAAAAGACAAAATCGGGACACATATGTTAAATCGGGACTATTGGTTTAAAATCGGGACTAGAGTTGCCAGACGTCTCGCTTTAGGCGCAATCGTACCGCTTTTTCACTTGCTTTCACGCGTTACGCCAAAGTACGAAAATGTCCCTTTGACCTTTTTACTCAATTGCCAAAGTTATATAATTTTTTGAAGAGGTAAAACCTGGACCTTTATTTTTAGAAATTTTATAAAAATAATTCGTTTTTAACATGATCCCCTGTCGTCACCGTTGTCCCGCTTTTCCCTTTCGTAAATCTGGCAAACCTAATCGGGACGGATGGTCACTTTACTATAGAATCCTTTAAAAACACCACTAGACTTATCAATTCATTGACGATTTTTAATCGCTATTATACTTATTCACAATGTAAAAAAAAAGACGATTCCAAAAGTTATATTCACCTAACAATAACCTCAATTTTGACTATGTTGCCATGACAAAAAACAACGATTTGTAAAACGAAAAAATATTTTGTTTAGTTAGAACTAATAAAATAAATACATATTTATTTTTCAATATCGCTCAATAATATATGAATCCCATCAAATTTAAAAACAGGGAAAGGTTTTAAAAAAATAATAATAATTGTATAAGAAACTTGGCAAACTTGCGTTAAAATGACGTAACGGACTGCAGTGTTGCCGTTCGTAGCGACTTTTTAATGGTTTGTAAGCACGGTTCGTAGAAAACACGGTGGCCTCTTCCGACTGTTGCTAAGAAAGGGTGTCACGTCACGAAATGAAAAATAGAGTTGACAGAAACATTGCCGTTGGCATACGAACGCTACGCACGTCGATTCAATGAAAAACACGTATAGCAGGGGCAGAAGTTGAAAAGGCTTTTGGTAGGTAGAGAGGGGGTAAACGTTATCCACGTCGGACGGCTTCGAGAATTTCGCAATAATGTCTACCTGTCAGTGTCGTTTCATAGAATAAGTAATTTGAAAATGTTACCGGCGGATCCGGCCGGACAATCGCATGTATTTATAGACTATAAATAAATATTAAACATGTATTATAATATCCAAATCATAATTCTACAAAATTTCAACAGCTATTCACAATTTATTAAACTATTTACTCGAAATTGTTATTAACATCAATAAAATAATTTTGTACGCCAATATAGTGCGTCCACTTCTGTTAATCCGTCGCAAACCTGTCAATTTATGTTTATAAAGTGGAAGAACTGGCAAAAGCCTGTCCAACTTCTGCCCCTGTTATATCTGGTTATTTGACCACGCATGCGTCAACGTGATCCTAAAATGGCATGGTAATTTTGTTTTGGAAACGAAATTATAACTATTTTATAACCAGCACCATCAACAAATATAATTAAAACCAAATAACAACGAAATATAATTTATTTTGTGGAATTTGTGGTTATGTCTTGTCAAATCAAATGTCAAAATTCGAAGCGACGAACGAACGGCCAACGACTTAATAAATTGGGTCCATCCCGAACTCACCAATGCGAACGTAGCGTGAACTGAACGCCAACTGAACATAGTTTATAAATCCAGCTCTAACCCCATTGGGTTGTAGAGAATTAAATTCCCGTCAATAATATATATTACTTTACTATTTTATCTATTTTCCTTCAAATGTTAAAGCAATTTCAAAATTGAAATCTAAAGTTTTGCGACAACTGTCGACTAATGAATCTTTCAATTTCTCGGGTTTTGTTTCTGTCCTTTTTGATTCCGAATCCGTATTCGAATTTACACATTGATTCCGGAATATACGGATCCTTTTAATATTCAACGGATTTTTGGATACGTATTTTTAAAACAGAAGTAAAAGTTGGAAAGGCTTTTGCCAGTTCTCCCACTTTATACACATAAATTGACAGGTTTGCTGCGGATCTCACCGAAGTGGACGCGATACATTGGTGTACAAAATTATTTTATAGATGTTAATAACAATTTCGAGTAAATAGTTTAATAAATTGTGAATAGCTGTTGAAATTTTGTAAAATTATGATTTGAATATTATAATACATGTTTAATAATTATTTATAGTCCATAAATACATGCGAGTGTCCGGTTCCGCCGATAACAATTTAAAATTACTTATTCTATGAAACGACACTGCGAAATTCTCGAAGCCGTCCGACGTAGTTTGACGTTTACCCCCTCTCTACCTACCAAAAGCCTTTCCAACTTTTACTTTCCCTATACATCACTACGTGCGGCAACACTGTGCCTAACGCAGGGTTGCCAACCGTACGATAATTACCGTACTTGTACGGTACTTTCGATTAATGTACGGTATACGGTCCAAAGTCATTAGAGAGATCGGGCAAGCACCAATAGGGTCCTTACGCTAATTACCAACTACCTTATTTTCGAAATACCGAATGCACGCAAACGTGATTTTGTAGAGAGTTCGGGCAGACTTTATTTTAAGTTTAACGTTATATTTTCGGGTATTATCGATTTGACCATTGTTTTGAGAGCATTGACTTGACACTTTTTGTTCTTTGTTCCTATCATTTCATTTTGATTTGTTTAGATCATGGCAATCGTAGTTTAGATTTATATATTTGTGTGGATTATTTTTTTTAGAATTAGCAATATTGGCAGAGGCGGATGATGATATAGAGTTCATTATACTAAATAATATTTTGGAAAATGACAAAGAACCGCATGGTTTAAATAAAATAATAAATTCCCATTAAACACTCCTAACAATGATTCAGCAATATTCTGCCTCTTCCCAATGTACTTTAAAAAAAACTACAATTACAAAAAATGTTTAAACGGTCAATATAACATTTTAAAACTACTACGAACACAATAGACGCCAAAACAAACAAATACAAACAAATCCAAGCCAAACAGAAACAAGAAATCGTTTCAAAAGACAAATGACAAGCGGCATACCACTATGGATGATATTAAATTCGGATACATTCGGCTTCCCTTATATTTCATAAATCCCTTCCGCAAACTTACATAATTAGCGTTTTGCGATAACGGTAATAGGGTAATTCTGTAAATATTTTGATATGCGCATGCGTAGATGTCAAATAATACCGTACGCAATTAGCGTATCACGGTATTGGTGCTTGCCCGATCTCTCTATTACCGTACATAAATGTACGGTATTTACATAAAAAGTACGGTAAACGTCATATTTATTGTATCTGTCTGTTTTTGCACAAGAATATTGAAAAAAGTAGCGGCCGAATGTACTTTATAAACTATTTGGTAGGTCATCAATTTTCAATAGAAACAAAACTAATCCCAGTAACCTTATAATAGTGCCCTTCTACCGCAAATCAATTACTAACTACAAAAAGTTTATATACACTATCAATAAAATTTAATTTCTAAATAGAATTTGTGTAATTTCAACTATTAAAATTATTTGAGTAGTTCAAATAAATCTTAAATGCGATCTTGTCAAGTGTTCTCCTGCCATTTTTAAGGGAATCCGTTAAAATAAATAATTTTTAACAGGACTCTAAAATTTGTGTATACAGAATACTATTTTTGATTAAAAAAATTAACGGGTTGCTAAAAGTTTAATTTTTAAAAGCCTCTAAATTTTAACTTATGTATTACAGAATAGACCCCATTATAAGTTGCATTAAACGTTTAAAAGTCATAATTTCTTATATGTTAAGTGTTAATATCCTCGATTTAACGCATAAAATTAACACATTATGTTAAATTTTTAACATATTTCTGCTTATAGAATTGATTTTTGCGGCACAAATGAACTAATATGTTAATTATGACAAGTTAAAATTTCTCATGAATTTACAGAATTGCTTTTCATATTTAACAAACGTTATATTTTTAACGTCCGTTAAATTTTAACATTTTCGTTATAGAATTACCACTCATGTACGGTAATTTTGCGCGGTACGGTAAATGGAATTTGAAAATTTGGCAACCCTGGCCTAACGTCAAAGTCAAGCTTCAACTTCAAAGAATTTCCACTTTCTGTGCATCTCGAATTTATTATATTTATTTATCTCCATTTACGTAATGTAATTACAATATGAGCTAATATAAATATACAAATTATTAGCTCTTATTTGTAAAGGTCATCGCTTTTAACCCTAGAAATGAGATGACGACGATGACATAACCTACACGGCTCCGGCTCATCAATTAATACAACACGTGTGTTCTGTTCATTCCAAAAAAAAAGATTGCTCATATTTTTAAGACTCTTTTACCTAGGAAATTGTAAAAAACTGTAATCATAAAAATGGAGGGTGACACTATTAAGGAAAACTTACTCATCGGAATGGGAAATCCACTTTTAGATATATCAGCTGTTGTAGACAAAGCATTTTTAGAAAAGTACGAATTGCTAGAAAACGATGCGATATTGGCTGATGAGAAACATAAAAACTTATTCAAGGAACTCACAGAACAATACCAAGTAAGTTACATTGCAGGTGGAAGTGTTCAAAACACCTTAAGAGTGGCCCAATGGTTACTGGGAAAATGTAATGTAACGACATTTTTTGGCTGTGTAGGAAAAGACAAATACTCAGAAATACTGTATGAGAATGCCTCAAATGCTGGAGTGAATGTCAGATACCAGTATAATGAAACAACACCTACAGGTACTTATATATTTCATATCTAGTTCAAGTTAATTAATCTGAGAAAGAGGTTAAACTATAAGTATTTGGTAAAATTCCTAAACATTTAAAGGTTATATAAATTAATTTAAAAGAAAACTTGAAATAAGGGTGAGAAACCCATTAACTCTAATATAGTAGTAAGAATAAATTAAGAAATATTAATGTTAAAAATATCTACTTTAAGTTTTACCAAATCCAATTTGCAAAACTTTACATTAAATTTGCAAATCTGATCAGTTATCTGTGGATATTTAATAACATTTTTTCAGCAACTTAAAGAACCTATTGCAAAATCTAAAAGAAATGATCTCCTCAAAGGGCTTTAAAGATAATTCTTCCGTTGAACATTATATTGTATGTGATGTCTTTATTAATTTTAGGCAGGGATGGACTGAAAAAGACGAGGAAAACCTTTTATTTTTATCTTTTCGAAAACTTTATTCTTCATAAAAGTTTTTGCTTGTTTCAAAACACTATTAATAATCCAAACAGAAGTTGAATATCTTTGCTTTAGTGAAATAATGACAAAAATGTAAAAAAAAATCATCAAAAAGTTATAAAAGTAATTTTAAAAAAACAGATGCAGATGCCATCACGAATTGAGTTTGCTGATTTTCTCATAGATCCCTTTATCAGATCTTGACAAAATGTATATAGGATCACCCCTGAGGTATCCCCTTTCTAACAAAAAAAAAAGAATCATAGAAATCAGACAAAGTGGTAAAGAATTATCACTGAATATACATAAAAAATGAAGAGTTAATGATTTTCTTATGGATCCCATTATCAGATTTTAGCCAAATTTATATGGGACCACTCCTGATGGTACCCCCTTTTAAAAAAAAAAGAATCATAGAAATCGGACAACATGGTAAAGAATTATCGACATAAAAAAAAATATTTTGAATTGATGACCTCCCACTTTTTCAGATAAAAACATTTATTTACTAAAGTAAAAATATTCAACTTAGTTTGAATTATTATTCTTGAAATAAGCAAAAACTTTTATAAAGAATAAATTTTCTCTAAAAATTGAAAATAAAAAGATTTTCCTCTTTTTCAATCCATCTGGGGTATATATCTTAATCTTACATTTACTAAAGCTCCTGTTAAAGTTACATAGTTTTTTTTTATTGCTATTTATTTAGTGTATCTCAATATTTGTTTTCTATTTAACAAACCTGGATAACAATAATTTTTTTAAGATGATGATAATGTAAATTAAAGTGCCCCTTACAATTTTGTTTTTGATCCAACTTTAATTTTAAAGAATTGTTGATCCAATATTGAAACTACATCCCCAGTCCATTTTATTGTTTTTATATAGTGACTAGAATATCCAGATAACTAATGACTAATTATGTAATTGTGAATTAAGCAAAATTTACGTGTTTGCAAGAAACAGGAGTAGAAAGATTTTAATTTTGTTAAATTGGTCCAAAATCATAGTTAATAACTCAGAACTTTGTTAAGTAAAATAGGAAATTTTAACTAAGAATAAATTTTGTAATATAAATTTCAATTATTATTAAAGGATGGCAACAATTTACTCGATTTTTGAATTTTGTCACTAAATTCGTTATTGCATAAAGTGGTCCATATTTTCTATTACATAGTTTCTTGATACTAAACATTTAAAATTTCAGGTACATGTGCAGTTTTAATCACAGACCACAACAGATCTCTAGTAACTACCCTAGACAGTGCCAACTGCTTCACAACTGACCACCTAAAAGATCCTGTCAACATGAATTTTATAGAAACAGCCCAGTTTTATTACGTGTCTGGATTTTTTTTGACTGTCAATCCTGCTGCACAAATGGAGATGGCAAAAGTGGCTTTAGCTAAAAACCGTCCGTTTATGATGAATTTAAGTGCCCCTTTTATCTGTCAACTTTTCAGTCAAGCATTCCAAGATGCAATGCCTTATATTGATGTTCTCTTTGGGAATGAATCTGAAGCTGAAACATTCGCAACCAGCCTCAATTTAGGGACTAAAAATTTAGAAGAAATTGCCCTAAAATTATCTGCATTGCCTAAACAAAACCAAGATAGAAAAAGAATCGTAATAATAACACAAGGTGTTGATCCCATAATTGTTGCAAGTGATGGAAAAATTACTAAATATCCTGTAAAAAAGTTGCCAGAAGAAAAAATTGTTGATACCAATGGAGCTGGAGATGCTTTTGCAGGAGGATTTTTATCTCAATACATTTTAGGACGTACCTTAGAAGTTTGCATCAACTGTGGAGTTTGGGCTGCTACAGAAATTATACAGAGAAATGGATGTACTTTTGAGGGACTACCTAATTTCTCATGTTAAGCAATAGTTTAGATTATTGTTCACTCTAGAATTGATCTGTATTTTCATAATATTATATTATCGACCCTCTAAAATGCAATACTTAGACATAAAGGATCTCTGTGATTAATATTATGACACCACTTTTAATAGAAATTTACAAAAAAAAAAAAATATATTTTATAATTTTTTTTTTTTTTTCAATATGCAAAGATAGATTTAAATCACAATAAATGTTTATACAGTATAATAATAATAGCTTTATTTCCTAAAAAGTTTCCTATTTAAAAGACCCAATTATTTATTATATAAATTCACCTCAGTTATATAGAGCTTTATTTAAGAAATATAATTGGTGCCAAAAAGGTATGACTCTTCTACTTGTTTTGGAATGTCATTCACTATTTTTATTAACATCTATATCTCTTATTATAAAATATTCCCAATGCATTTTCACCATTAAGCAAAGTGGATTATCTTCTGATGTACATACTTAATACAACTTGTTTTTATCAATGTTTCAATAAACATCCTTCTTATCAAACAAGCAAAAATAACACAGAAAATAACATTTCTACACAAGTTTACAAAGAATTGAAAAGCAAATAAAAAAATTGTTCTGGTGTAACTTACCTGAATCAGTCAAATCATCAGTAGCTCTCTGGTGTATATCTCTTTGAGATTCCATCTTAAAATCATCCCCTAAACCATCAACCTTATGAATAAATACTTCAAATCTTATATTTGGATTGATTTTATAAGCTTTTGTTACAGTTAAATTCAATTTATTCAAAGCTTCAATATAATCATCCTAAAAGTAATTTATTAAATAGCTAATAGTAAAAGAATGTAATTTGTATTTAAAATGGGAAGAGGTATATTTCAATGTACATACCACTATTTTATTGTATCAACCAAAATATGTATGAGCAATACCTAACTTCTTTTGGAAATATTGGAATATTTTCAAATATGAAGACACAACAACTACCGAAAATATTGAACTTGAATACACTACCTGAGCATCTATTACGAATATAAGAGCTCCACATCCACCAAAAATCATATCGTAATCAAAACTAGAATCAAAGAAGTCAATCTGTCCTGGAAAATCCCATATTTGGAACTGAACGAAACTAGAGTTATTGATATCATCTTTAACAATTTTGTTTGTACTCTCCAAGAATAAAGTTTCGTTTGGTGACATTTTATGGAAGACTACTTTCTGTATAGAAGATTTTCCTGATCTTCTCAAACCCATTAACAAAATCCTAGGTTTTTGGTCTCCTGATGAAGACATAATGTCCTGGTCACCATCAAATGGTCCATAACCAAAATCTTTTGGAAAAGAACCAGCTGTACCATCAAATGGCACTCCCTCTTCATCATCTTGATAGGACTACAAGAAATAATAAACAAAGTATAAATAATTTAAACAATACTAAATAAATGAATAAAAACAATTTACCATTTTTATTTTATTAAAAAAGATCTGTAAAAAATATGGAATCAAGTCACGAAAACAATGTTATTAATTTTTAGTAACATACACAAAAACGGAAAAAAATTCTTTTGAAAAATACTTCTAGTTTTTGACAAATAATTTTTGACATTTCATTCACTCGCTTTCAGAAGATCGAAAGAAAATGTTTCGATTTTCGATTATAATTTAATTTATCGATTGCAAAGATGGTTGGTTATAATCTTATTTGAAACATTTTAGAGAGTATTCAGATGTGGGTTATCTCTTTAAACAAACAACAGCAATGAACATTTTCTTTAACTAACAAGATGATACCTTTTCTGTGCGACATAACTTTTTATAATATTATATCGAAATGATTTTTTCTGTTGCTGACACAAGACACTGGGGTGCGTTCAGAAATGTAGGGTAAACGCGTCCGGACGTTGTCTAAACTGGCTCTATCAAGCTAGCGGACACTCTGTGGCGGCACCATTCAAGACCTGGCGGGTTTTTTGTAGCTTTTTTGTAGCTTTTTTGTTACGCTATTTGCGAATTTGTAGCTTTGCCCAGGTCCGAAAAAACAGCGGATCCGCTAGCTTGAATTTCCATAAATTCCATAGTAGCGGCACAGATTCAGACCCAGCTGGTTTTTCGTAACTTTTTTGTAGCTTTTTTGTTACGCTAGTCTCCCTTTTGTAGCTTGTACTGAACCTGAGAAAAGCGCGGATCCGCTAGCTTAGCGGATATTTGTAGCGGCACCAGCTCGGACCAGGCTCATTTTTTGTAACTTTTTTGTAGCTTTTTTGTTACGCCTGTCTCCATTTCGTTGCGAGGCCTGAACGTGAGTAATAATCGTTTCTCCATGAGCGTGAGAGAAAAGTGCGTTAATTTAAAATCAAGTTTCGGCATCTACAAGTAATATGTGCAACTCGATAGTGAGACTATCTGTTGATAGATGGCACCAGTATTGCATTTCACGAATTAAGGCCATCTTCCATCCAATATATTTTTGAGAAATTTATATATAATCTCAAAATCGAACATTTGTTTTTAAATGTTTTTTAGTGTTGTTTATGTATTTATACTTTTGTTGAATCAAGAATATTCTTACATCTTTTTTGAATGATTTCCTTAACCAATCGTTTTGCAGTATTTATGAACCAGTATTTAATTTTGTCGGATCACAACTATACAGTATGTTCCATCTCAGACGAGCCACCCCATAGTAATTGGAAAAATTTCCTGAAACACGTCGGATGATTTTCTTTGGGGGACATCTTTTGACGTATATTTGAGGCTTAAACCAGCAACCCCCTATGGGGGGAGCTTCAACCCCTCAAAATGGAATAGGGAAGAAGGATTGAGTGATACATCATTTGTAAGGTCTTGAAAGCCTCTTACAACGGTGTATGAAAAAATCACATTCTTAAAAAAAATTAATTGTTTTATCACATCAAATGATCGAAGAAATGTGATAAACCTTCTAAGAGCAAAAAATGAAGGCAAGATAAGAAAATGTTTTGATTTTTTTATTTATTAGTTCGAGAGAATTTATTATTGCATGGAAGTCAATGGAAGACAAATTGAACATTTCATTTAAAAACGCAGTTTTGATTTTTTTGATTGTAAGCATGATAAAACAATTGATTTTTTTTAAGAATGTGATTTTTTTCATACACCGTTGTAAAGAGGCTTTCAGGACCTTACAAATGAAGTATCACCCAACCCCTCTTCCCTATTCAATTTTGAGGGAGCGCCCCCTTGTAGGGGGTTGCTCGTTCAAGCCTCAAATATACGTCAAATGTCCCCCAAAGAAAATCATCAGACGTGTTTCGGGAAATTTTTCCAATTACTATGGGATAAGAACTATACGGGGAGGCTCGTCTGAGATGGAACACCCTGTATATAGTGAGAATAGGTATTACCACCGGTGTGAAGTTAGCAGTAAGTTTTTAGCAGTAAAAATAACCGAGAACACCCGATCGGGAAAATAGTGGCGTCCGACATACAACTATTTTAATAATCTTGTCAATATGTATTTTACATTAATATCGGACAAATAATTAATATACATACCGTTGAAAATGTCTGATTTTGAGATTATATCTAAATTTCTCAAAAATATATAATTCGTGAAATGCAATACTGGTGCCATCTAGCAACAGATAGTCACACTATCGAGTTGCACATATTACTTATAGAGGCCGAAACTTGATTTTAATTTAACGCACTTTTCTCTCACGCTCATGGAGAAACGATTATTACTCACGTTCAGGCCTCGCAACGAAATCGAGACAGGCGTAACAAAAAAGCTACAAAAAAGTTACAAAAAATGAGCCGGGTCCGGGCTGGTGCCGCTACAAATATCCGCTAAGCTAGCGGATCCGCGCTTTTCTCAGGTTCAGTACAAGCTACAAACGGGAGACTAGCGTAACAAAAAAGCTACAAAAAAGTTACGAAACACCAGCTGGGTCTGAATCTGTGCCGCTACTATGGAATTTATGAAAATTCAAGCTAGCGGATCCGCTGTTTTTTCGGATTTGGGCTGAGCTACAAATTTGCAAATAGTGTAACAAAAAAGCTACAAAAAAGCTACAAAAAACCCGCCAGGTCTTGAATGGTGCCGCCACAGAGTGCCCGCTAGCTTGATATAGCTGTCTAAACTCTAAAAAGCGTTCCTAAATGGGGAACGTTTTATCTGGACGAATTACCCCAGCCGTTTCTATTTAAAAGAAAAACGCGTCGGGATGAAAAAATGTTACCCACCAGCGTGTGGATTGAACAATAACAATGTGAAACAGAAAATGGTTATTATAAATACTCCCGAGTGAGATGAGAAATAAAAATGGCTGCGCCCATAGAGTCGCATCTTGTTCTATTGATACATTATGCACATTGGCTTTCTACCCCACTCCAGTTCATTGGCTATGGACCGATTCCACCGTTGTGTTAAGGCTGTATGTCACGATACTAAATTAAGTACTAAATTTAGAACTAAATTAATGCATTTTTTAAGTACTAAAAAAATTCACGTTGCAAACAGCAAATTTAGTACTAAATTTAGTGCTAAAAAAAGTCATTAATTAAGTACTAAAAGTGCGCCGAAATGTTGCGCAGAAGTTTTTCATAGAAAAAGTTGACACGACGGTATTTTCTGTACCCTTTTATTTTTAATTAGCGACAATTTTACATTATCGCCTTGAATAAAGTTCGCTTGTTTGATTTTGTAGGTTTTATTGTGTTTTTTTCGTGGTTTTTATGCTGTATTTGGTTGTTGTCAAGTCAACTAGTGTCAAATTGATAATAAAAACACCATTTAGGACCGATTCCACCGTTGTGTTAAACGAAGTTTAAAATTACATTTTTACATTAACAATGTCATTTTAATCTCCGTTTAATACAATGGTGGAATCGGCCCTAACTTGTCTGTTTTACACATAATATTTCATTTCTCTGTTAATTTTACGTATTAATACGTCAATGCGCGTGCGCCTATAGTAAATTTAGTACTAAAAATTGGTATCGTTGCAAACGGAAAAAAAAATTTTTAGTTCTAAATTTAGTACTAAATTAATAACTTAATTTAGTGCTAAATTTAGTACTTAATTTAGTATCGTGACATACAGCCTTTAAACGTAGTTTAAAATGACATTTTTACATTAAAATGACATTGTTAATGTAAAAATGTCATTTTAAATTTCGTTTAACACAACGGTGGAATCGGTCCCTAATGACATAAACCCTACTTCTAATTTCTAAGCCGAATAGGGTGAAAAAACGGTCGGTGCGCATGACAATTTGGACGCCAAATTATGTTATTTTTTATCAATCACACGCTATTTTAATAATTATTATTATTTGAACATTTGTTTCAGCTGCGTATTGATCAAAAAACCTTTTTTTATGTGATTTTCTTAAATTAAAAGGTGTCATAGTTGAATGTAATGAGTAATAATTTAATTTTGGTGATCCTTTTTAGTGCATTTCGATACGCACATGTGGGCGCCAAAGTGTTAAATATCACCTTGCTATGCAACTTAATTTTGTTGATTGGCTTTGTTCTTCCAGTTGGTCTGACCCAATGAACTGGAGTGGGGTAGAATGCTTGTCAATAGGCTTGAGATGCGACTCTATGGGCGAAGATAGGTTATTTTTCATCTCACTCTGGAGTATTTATAACTACCATTTTCTATTTCACTTTGTTATTGTCTGATCCACCAGCTTGTGGATTGAACAATAACAATGTGAAACAGAAAATGGTTATCATAAATACTCCCGAGTGAGATGAGAAATAAAAATGGCTGCACCCATAGAGTCGCATCTTGTTCTATTGATACAATATGCACATTGGCTTTCTACCCCACTGCAGTTCATTGGTCTGACCACATCAACAATAGGTTCCAGACGCACCGTGCGAGGATTCTAAACGCACTCCTGTTATCTACGTCACAGAAACTGTTGAACTGCTGTTTTGAAGGCAGAAAGCATGTCTCTGCAGAAGGTTACAAAAAGAAGAATTAGAATTGACCGTTGGAGCTCGTGGCTCGCAGCACTCTAAAAATAGAAATAAAGAAGAAGAATATGGTGCAATTCTAATAAAAGACAATTTTTCTAAACGGATATTGAGTGGATAGTTTCAATATTTAAATTAATAAAGTGCATGCTCATGCAAATTGAATAAAAATTCAATTAATGCGATTTAAATTTGAAAATATGTATACCAGGTTGGCCAACCTGGTGACAATTATAGTTCTATATTAAGCTACCTTCACTCATCTATAATTGATAATGCTGAAGATAGGTATGAAAGCAATTTGGATATTGTCATTGGAAAACAATTCACTATATCACACACCATCTTCTCAAATGATTATTGGTAACGCTACCTTAACTTTAAAAACCATTTCGCTGGTGGGGGGATCAAAAATAACTATTAGTAGAATGCTTAATGCTTATCAAAAGCTCAAAAGGTAGTACTTTCTTATCAAATTGTTCAATTTATTCGTTGTTACAGTGAAATTTGCAGATGCATTGAAAACAATAACAAGTTTAAATTATAGTGCAGTGACTCATAATACGAATTATACGAGAAATTATTTTAAAAATTATTGTTATGTTGATTCATGATTATGCTCTAGCTATAAATATTTAAGATTTAGATTGATGCATAGTGCATATGCAATTGATGGGCATGACATTTGAACTCAAAATATTACCATGATATTTACATAAAAGTGTATCGTGCATTATACTTCTTTATACATTGAATTTTGTACCTGTTTAATATTGTTAACATCCAGCCGTGAATCAAGGGTTTGTAAGACTTTCATGTTCTAAAAATGTTCACAAATATAGATGAACGAATATTTAAACAATCTAAATTAGCTGTAGCTAGAAATCTTTTCGATGTGGAAGTACCCCATAGGATAGGAAGTTATGACAGGTTCATCCCTTATAGAGCAAATAATAACTGGGAAACGAGCTTTGCTACTATACCAGACCCAAGTAAGAACACACAGACTGGTAAAAAGGCACGAGAGACTGGTGAGAACGCTAGAGACAGTTCAGTGTATAATATTTTATTGAGAAATGAACTACTTGGTGAGAGCATAGAAGATGTGAAGTCTCAGTGTGACGAGAGACAAGCTTTAACTCCTGTTAAAAGTAGAAATTTATTTAAATATGGCACTCCAACTAAGGTAAGTCATTTTATAAGAATTTATACTGTTTAGTTTTCAGAAAAATCTGTCATTGTCCCATACTTATAATACCTAAATAAAACTTTATCAAGGATTTCCACAATTATAGCCATTTTTATTTAAACAGATAAATGATATTTTTTTATTTTTATAATATTCGTAAAATGCTCACACTATAGGTAGATAAAAAAATGCTTTCATACTTACTAAATTAGGACTTAAATGAATCACTTATTTGAGAAACCTGACAAGTCCCTTAAAGACAGTTTTGAGATAATTAAAAACCTGCCTAACCACTATTGTTAATAGTCAATAAATGTTAATCTATAGTACCTACTTAACAGTTTTTTGACAAAAATCGAAAAATAAAAATAAAGGTTAATGTTGATAAAAAACCTATTTTCAAAAATAGACATGTAGACTTTCTCAAATAAATTTTAAATTTTTGCTTTATATCATTTAATTTGGAATAAAATAAAAAGTAATATATATAAATTTATAACATTAAACAACTTCTGGCTCTAATTCACCATCTACAGTAGGCCATAAAAAAATTCTTGGTAAAAACCATCGATAAAAAACTACTGGACTAATCCATTCATTCATAATGAAGCCTTTTTTTAATGTATATTTTTTTTATTGGAATCATTCAGATTGTGTTTATTATTACGCAGACAGAGCTGTTGCATCGGCTGCTGCATTAGAAAGAGGGAGATAGCTGCTAATCCAAGTGGGGATGATTTGTGATAGTATCTTTATCTGAGGAGTGAGCATGCCTTTTATGAATTAATTAGTATTTATGACTACTATGCTTGCTTTACACTGCTGTCGCACTTCAAAATTAATTACATTCTTTCTTGAAAAACACTAAACAACTATAATAGTTGCAATGAGAAAAAATACCTTAAACTGATAATAACCAGCATTAAGAATGCAAATATACTTCCCTAATGTAATTTTTAAAATGAAATCGAAAACAAAATAAGGAACCAAAACAACTAGTTAGAGGAAAGTGACATACTAAAAGTGCATAATACATAAAAAAAATGGTAAACAAAAACACCTCTATCTTTTGTATTGAATGTTCTCCAAACTTTTACCATAAAGCCATGAAAGCTCAAAAAATTTGTATGGTCTGGGAACACTTTCCAATTTATGAAGACTTAAATCTTCCCAGGCATTACAACTGCCAGGGCTATCAACATAAAAGTGCCAATTGTGTTAAAAAAATAGTTTGTAGAAAGTGCTCAGGAGAACACGACAGGAACATTTGTAATGATGATAATAAAAAGTGTGTTAACTGTATCTTTGCAAACCAATGGTACACTACTGGCTATGATTGAAATCATGAAGCAACTGACCCAAACTGTCTGTTGACTCTTTATTACACAAAAATTCTTAGAAGTAGAATCGATAATGGAACTAGCTAATGGTACAACTACAACTCAAAGATATTATGAAACACATTGATGAAGAAGAAGAGGAATCTATTAAATTAAATAAGTTAATAAATTTATTTCATCTTAACATTAGAAATGCTAATATGAACTTTGATGACTTCATTCTCCTAATTCAAACATATAATCTTTATTTTGTTGATATTTTTATTCTAAGTGAAGCTTTTAGAGGTACATGTATTATTAATTGTAATATTCCAGGTTATAAAACATTTTAATGATGCTGACTATAACAGGAATGATTGTGTTTTGATCTTAGAAATGATATCAAGACTGAATTCTCTATTTTAAAATTTGCACTAAGTATCTAAAGCAACGTTAGGACGATTAGAATATTATGTAGGGGATATTTCAATAGGTATTAATGCAATATGTAAACCACCACCAATTCAAAAGGCAGATTTTATAAAAGATATTCATGATCATTTAATTTCCCTGGAAAACTCTAATAACAGAACTAAGTACTAGTGGCTGATACAAATTTTAATATTTATTCTAGATACAGGAGATAATGAAAATTTTAATTATATATCTACATTGTCAGAATTTGTATTTACCTCAATGATACAAATGATACAAAGAGTTATTTAGATCACATATTTGTTAAACAAGTCCAAAGGCCAAATTCATTTCATTTTCAAACTTTTGTTCTAGACCATCACATAACAGACCACCTTCCAATTACTGAGAGAACCCACAGATCAAACAGAACATAGAAATAAACAAAATTTTATAATAAAAAACAGATATAGATAAATTAAAACGGACACTGAATAACAAGGACTGGTCACCCATAATAAATGATGATAACCCAGAAACGGACACCAATAAATTTATCTTGATCTTTAAAAAAGCCTTAGAAGTGACAAAATCTATAACAACTTTAAAACAATACAAAAAACGTAAAAATTGGATAACTAATGGCTTAATAACATTTATAAAACACAGAGATAGATTAAAATGGAACCTAATAAAAATTATAGCATATAACTAGATAAAGAATACAAATCATATCCTAATTATCTTCAAAAGCTAATTATTAAACAAAAAATGAATTACATTACATGTATTTCATGACAATAATTTTAAAATAAAAAAAATGATGTAAAGCTCCTTCCACTTTCTGGAAAATCAGGAAATATCCAGAAATTTGCATTGGTCATGGAAAGTCAAAGAAAGGGTATGAAATTTGCAAAATATATATGATTATTTAACACTATAATACAACCAGTGACAATTATCTTTAATAAGAAATTATATCTGAAAACACTTTGCTGGAGTGTAACATCAATGATTTATGCAAAACGTCAATACCTATGAAGATTGTCAAAAAAAGTTGGATTTTAAAAATTAATTTCATTACCAGAGTAACTTATCAATGATTAATGCGACACGTCAATGTGAAGTTTGTCAAAAAGGTGGCGAAAATTAACAAAAATCGTTTGACATATGACGTAAAAGTGTTAATGCAAAAGTGCGGACACTTTTAATATCGTCATAGCCTCTCCTCTTTATTCTATATCAATGATTGGAAATATTCGTATGCCCTGCCCTACTTTGTGACGTTGCTTATGTGCGATGCACAAAATAATGTGATTTAAGTGATTTTAAACAGGCACATTGTTTCACGGATCTGTTGATGCGTTGACCTCTCTTTTTAGCTACAAGCTTTCGCAAAATCATCTCGCGCCCTCGAGCTCACTCAGACTAGTGCAATACGGAGACGCGATTAGCCAGAGCGCAGTGGCGTATCCAAAAATAGATATTAACACATAAAAATAATAAAATTATTTAAATTAAATTTATATTTTTGTTATTTTAAAATAATGTGTTTTTATGAAATGTAACTTTGTGTTCACTGCAAAAATGAACAATGGAAAAACCGCCCCTGGTTGTGACTTTGTTTATAAATCGATCACAGTTTTACTTATTCATAAAAATACTTTTTTTATTGAATCAAAATCAATTTTGATGTAAAAATCTACGAACTAAAACGCCATAAAAATCGAAAAAAAAGCTTAGTTTTAGTGGCTACATCTCAGCCCGTTTTTATCCAAAAACCCTTTTTAACTCACCATTTTGAAGGAAATTTAGTCAACTTTTTTATATGAAGCAGTGCCTATACCTATCTCTGTTCAGAAAACGAAAAAAAAAGCCAAACAGAAAAAATAATGAATCTTGTACTTTTCATCAAGTATCTACAATACGGTCTGTTCTAGGGTTATCATGTATATAACAATTATAGATAATATTATCGCGAAGAAGAATTTTCTTCTCCGATCATAAATAACAAGAACATATCAAAAAGTAGAAAAACAACTCCATATAAAGTACCCCCCAGTTGCTCCGACTATGCCCAAAATCTAATCTGTTATTCAGGGGCCACTGGAAACCATCTGTTCCAAATCCCATTGAGCCCATAGTTTGGACTGAATTGTGTTAACAAAGGGCCGACATCCGGACAATTTTTAAAAACATGTAAAGATCTGGTTTTATCTCTAATGCGAATTTTGGAGCGATTGCATTTTTATTGGTTGGTGGGGAGGCTAAAATGCACCCTTTTGGTCTCATTTAATTGCACCAGCTTTTCAAAGGCAATAGAGAAGACTAAATTTTATTCTCATTTAAAATGGGAAAAGAATATTTCTTTTTACGTCAGTAAATAACTAAATTTATTGTTTGGACAAAGCTTATTTAAATATATTTAAAATTAAAAGACAGTCGATTTGATAAGGAAATAATTTTGCGTTAATAATACCTTTTTAACATATTTATTTCTTCCTCCTTCCCTTATCACTTTATTTGGATGTTATCGACATTCCGAAAATGTGAAAGCCTACTTTGCCGACCTCATGAAAAATTCTGCTAATTAGCGATAATGATTCGTAAACGAATTATGTACCGTTTGAAATAATTTAAAATAATCTATTATTAGTTACAAACAAATGTGGGTAGCCTCAATTAGTGTCTTTTTCGCCCGAATGTCATTGAATAATAATTACAACAATAGAAACTTTACTGTAAATATTTTGAAAGTTCATTAGATTGTCTTTAAAGAGTGTCATAAATCAATAGACTTATTGTTGTGGCATAAATGAGATCCTAATAGGTTTTACCGTACCTAAAGTAGGACTCTTAAGCAGGGTGAATTATAAAGTTTTTGTAATTCCATTTAATATACAGGTATATACACAAATTCCTTTAGATAACATAAAATATAATAGAATTTGGAGGACGCCGAACTTATTCCAAAAACCTCCATATATTCTTACTATAAATCGTGGTATTTTTATTTTGTTTTTGTTCATTTGAAATTCTTAATAAAAAATAATAAATGTTGGCGTAAATTTATATTATCAGTCTAGAATTATTCTAAAATGGTAATTATTGGAAGTATACATATTAAAAAATCCGTTAATTTTCAGTAATTTTCAAAACATTTCTAAATTTTATTTGTAATCACGATGTTGCCAAATTGATACTGTACATAGATTTTTAAAATTTTTATCAGGTTAAATGAAGGTTCGTAAAGTTAGCACTGTC